GTTTGTAAAGACAAGAGGTTGAGATGATTTGGTAGGTGGGTGAAGCACATCGGACATAGCTACTTTCTTTCTATTGCTGGTGTACGTGTTTGTGTGTATGTGTGTTTTCCCATGCTGACGCTAAAAGTGGTGTGAGGACGGATCTGAAGGACTGAGTGCTGGAATACTAATGAACAAACATAGAAGAAGAGGCTGTGTGCTCCTGTCTACCTCTCTGCAGTGGGCTCACTCGCTCTTCTCTCTCGCTCTCTCCCTTCATCTGCACCTCTCGCTCACACAGAGGATAAACTGTGTACATGATGACATTTACACCGCAGTTGCACGCAGAGGGAGTGCGTGTGTGTGTGTGTGTGTGTGTGTGTGTGTGAGCCCTCTCATTCCTCTCCCCACTTCTGTTTTTTTCCCTGCTCTTCCTTCATTTTGCTCTGTGCTCATCTTCTCTCCATCTCTCTTCCTTTCGCTGTGTGTGTGCTCCCTTGAGGTGCGCATCCTGTGCAGAACACACACAGCGAAAGGAAGAGAGACATTACTTAAGCTGTACAAAGTTTTTTCTGTTTCAGTTGATTGGTTGATTATATGGTCTTTGTAAGAATATAGCCCTCATGTCCTATTCTTTATCTGAGTCTTAGTTGGTCTAAACTGGAACTGGTTTCGGTCTGGCTCTCTTTAGGTCTCTGATGGTCTAATATTGACTAGACACTTTACATATTTACAATAATATTTACTTTATTGTCTTATTGTGTATTGTTCATGAGAAGATTCATTTAAAATTGCTAAAGTTGTGGAAGTGACCTGGAAGAACTTGTATCTGTTAGATGCCATTTACACCTTTATAAGTATCTGTTTGCCATTTCAACTTCGAGTTGTTTTTCGAGTGAAACTTTTAAAAATGACATTTCATGATTCATCTTCATCTAAGGAAGAAGCCATTTCAAAGGAGACAGCGGTGGCAGTGAATGGTCATTTACCCATTTACTCAGAAGGGAAGAAAATGACTCAAAATCAAATATTTTTCACTCAACTGTTGCTTGCTTATTCTCCAAATAAGTGGCCACGTGGAGAAAACCTGAAGGTGACTGCTGGTTAATTTCATTAAAGTCATTTCAGTAGGTTTGTAAGAGCAGTGCCGATAAAAAGCTTGTCGTTTTATGCCAAGCTACTCTGAAAAGCCTCAAGGCTTTGTGTCCGTTTTGATTCTTAGATTCACTTCTTGTGTCTGTATTTAAACAGGAGGTGTTACAGAACTTCAGGGACCCGAAAATTTGGATAGGTTTGGTCTTGAGTTATCTGCAGTCCAAAAACATTGTAACCACATTGACACTCCCACATGGTTCTACAGTGTTTAGCTGAACCACAATCAACAAATAGGTAGTTTTCATTATTTCAAAAGAACACCTGTCTTAGGGTTGGGCCAAGATAAAACATTTGTGCTGTTGAAGCAAAATACGTGGATTCATACGGAGCATTATCGAGATATTGCTTCAGATTTGATCACTGCCTGCTGTGGCTGTCTCAGTTTAGCCAGTGCACTATTTGTCAGTCTGTTGTAGGTGTAGTGTATTATAGTGATTCTGCTGTGGATAGGTTGGTATTATTGGATGGATCTCCACGGTAACGGGGCGGGTGAAACTCAATCGGAGTCTCTCCATGTCGCTCCCTTAGATGGCCACCCGCTGATCCTGACCTTCTGGATGTTTTTCCCCTCTCCTTTTCTCTCTCTCCCTCCCGCTCTCTCAGCCCCATCTTCTAACTCTTCTATTTTCTGTATTCATTTATCTATCTTTCTAGTTATGATGGATTCAGGAGTGCTTACATGTTCCTATACTGTTATTTTTGGCTTATGTTGTCATTGCACTGCCACTTTAAAGCACAATGACAACAGCAAATGAATAGTGTCTATCCACTTTGTGTAACCTGCATATGACAGCATGTGTATTGTGTGTATGTGTATAAACCATAGATGATAACACTTATGCAAGGGGGGGCCTGGCTAAGGCGAGATAATAGGAAATTATGTTTATGATGTACTCTGAATATTAACTGCCTCATAACTGACTCATTCTTTCTCTCTATGGAAGATTCAGTATTTATTGCTGTATCCTCCAGTACAGTCAGAATCAGCATAGCCTCTTGCCTTGGCCGGGCATAAATATTTAAGGCAAGAAGGAACAGTAAAATCACAAACGGCAAGTAGAGGGACAATTAGAGAGAGAGAGAAAACAAAAAGGGCCAATGACAGACACTTGAGGCACCCCATTTCAAACTCTCACCTTCACTGTGCGTGTGCATATGTGTGTGTGTCCAGCATTTTGTACTGAGGTAATAACTCTCACCAGGGATCTGGAGAGCCCAGCAGAGTTCAGGCAGGTGTCCATTATACCTTTCACACACACACACACACAGAATCCAGCAGGCCTGCATTATTTGTATCAAACAACTGGTATGTTTTGCCTCTGACGCACAAGTACAGACACACTCCTACTGCGCAGCACCAGCAATGAAAACAGACACCTCTACCATGATTCCTGCTCAAGATCTCTCCAGCAGGAAGTATGAGCTATGAGCCGTCCCCAGGGACGCAGGAAAGAGAAAGAGAGAGGCCAGGAGCCTGACACTGCCTGGCCAAGATCTATGCTCAAACACACTCTCTTGCCTCTTTTTTTCCCTTTCACTGCCCTCTTTTGTCTTCCCTTGCTTTTATTTTCCGTTTCTTTCTCTACTCGAAATAAAGAGTAGTTGGTTACACTGAACACACTCATATCCACTTTTGTGCAGAGAAATGCCATTTCCTCTGCTTTATTATTCTCTTTCCCCCTCTGTGGGAGGCTGGGAGGAAAGTTTGCTTTGAAGAGAGAGGGTTTAACATGTGCGCTAATAAATAGCTGGTTTGCCGCTGGGCAAGATTGCAAGAGCTCAGTTCTCTCTCTTCCATATAGTCTCCAGCATTTTCAGTGACTACAACTTATAACCTCCATTTCAAAATGAAAAGGATAGAGGAGTATGTTTTTCTTCAATATGTCCTGACAGACCTGATTTTACTTTACAATTTCAACTCAAGGTTGATATTCTCTCCATCCATAAACTTGTGTAATTCCCTCTGGGTGTCCAAGCAGTGTTTTGTTTTGTCCCTTCCTTTCTTTTTTCATGAGAAAGGAAAGTTCATCCCTATGACCCTTGCAGTATGCTTTTGTTTAGTTTCTAATATCAGTTAACATTATATTTACTTTTATGAACTTGGCAGAGACTTTTCCTAAGCAACTTATATTGCTTATTTGAACTTATTATTTTTCTCTTTTCATGAATTTTATCAGTTCATGAATTAAAACCATGACATCGGTGTTGCAATGCATATACTGTTTAAGCTACAGGAACCTGTATATCCTTACTTTGCAATGCTGGTTCTAACATTCTGAAGAAAAACCAAGCATAAAATCCATTAAAAATTGTAAGTGAATTGAGTTCATGTTATGTAGATAATAAATTAAAATTAATTAACTGCATATATCAGTATTTGCAGGGAAAAGTTACCAAATTAAAATGAATTAAACATGTAACATTACTGTGGGAGATAAATAGACATTACAAAAAGTGGATTCTGTAATTGAGTCACCTATCTTTCCGAGGTAGACTTAAGGACTTTTAAAGACCAGTGTAATTTTGGTATATATTATATATTTCTGTTTAGCATTAATTTATTGTTAGTTTTAGTAATTTAAGTACTTCAAATTAAACTTATTTACTTTTTTCTCCAATTTTTTTTTTCTAAGGCAATGCTTTGGCATTAAAAGGACATGCATGGTGCTGCCTCCAAAGCATGATTGCCTTGTAAGTCAGACATACAGGAATGTCACTAAACGAGCAGAGCCGTTGAGCACGGATGACCCTTCACGCCTTCCTACAATTCCCAGAAATCAATGCTCTGATGGAGCTTCCATTACCATTATTGATGGCTGAGACGGTGGCAGTGACTGCTGCCAATGCGAGAGGCCGCAGTGATGTGTAGCTGAGGAGCTGAGAGGCCGTCTTTGTCTTGTTGTCTTTGTCTGTCTTTCCCTATTCCATTCTGTCTTTTTTGCCATCCTTATATTTCTTTCCATATATATAATTTCCTCTGGAGTGTGAATGGAGCACTTTTCTAATAAAAGTCATCTGTAAGCCACCACACAGACACATACACTTTCTCTCTCACACATGCACATCTGAGGAAGCACTTGGTCTACACACAGCTGCATGTTCACCTGAGGCAGCTGCAGTCCGTTTCTCAGTCTTTAAGCACTCCAGAACTCAAACTCTACATTGTCACTTGTTAGTGGTATAGACAGAGAGAAGGAGAGGGAGAGGGAGAGGGAGAGGGAGAAGGAGACGACGAGAGAGTGGAAAGAACTGTCCTTGTATTTCTGTCACTCTCTGAAACCACAAGGGAGCTGGGGAATGAAACGATGCAGCCGAGCAGAGAGCCCTGCAAGGCTGCCGCCCGCCTAGCATCACCGCTAACACCGCGACCAGCATCCGCGCTACCAATTAGCCTGAGACCACACAGGGAGAGAGAGAAACAGGCTGATTTGTTTGTTCCAAAGCACAAACTCTCTCCACCGCAGCGGATCGTTCGAGAGACTCGGTTGTGAAAATGAATTGCCAAATTAAAGATCTTTACAAACACAAAAAAACAAAAACAAACACAAAGCATGCTTAAGAAATGTCAACCTAACAATTGCCTTTGGAGAGCTTTGTTTCAGCTAATTGGGAGGGAGAGGGGTGAGAAGAGAGGCTCACATCCTAAGAACAAAATTAAATTAGGTTTAAATCGGCTGAATCTGTGTTCACCCTTTTCGGTTACAGCGTCCAATTACCCGAAACAAACACAGAGGTGCATAACCGTGACAAATGGCTTCAAAACTGGAAAACTGGTCTTGCAACAAATGCAAAGTCACAGAAGGAAGGTTTAAAAAAAAAAAAAGTGATGACAACTGGCTATTAAGCATTATGGTACAAATACTCACTGAGTGGGAGTGTCCTCAGCTGTGTGACATCACTGCTTGTCCACCTGTAGGAGACCGGAAAAAGAAACAGAGAGGAAAGTGTTTTAATGGCATATTTGGTCACTAAACAGAAACAAAACTGAGGTAAATGTCCTAAATTACACTTAATATTTAGCTTCGGCCTCAAGGGGACGAGTCAACGGCAACAGGTTTCAGCATTGTGGCTGGAGTAATGCAGTGTTTAGTGTGTTTACACCCAACCTGTGGCTGCCAATGGTTTTAAGTAAGAAAAACGCATGCATAGCCTACGTACACAAAGACACTGACAACCACTTTTCACATGCCCACACAAGTAAAGCAAAAACACATGAATGTGTGAATGCTCATACACGCACCCGGTTCCGTCTTTTTTCCTGCTAAACCTGTTGGAATTACAGTAAGGCTTTAAAACCCAGGGTGTGTGGGATGTTTTTCCAAGCACACATGCTGTCTTGTGCAGAAAACCAGCCTGCTCCAGTTTTCTCACAGACTTTGTGTGTGTTTCTGTCTGTTTGTGTGTGTATGTGTGCTTAAGAATTATCAGGAACATCACAGCAGTGAGTCAAAAAGGTGAAACAGACACACAAATCAGATTCGGCTTCCAATCTCCTCAATCTGCACAGACAACAAGTTGTACATACACACACTGCTCAGAAACAAACACCACATTCACAATGAGGTAAAAAAAGCTAAAACAAATTACCACCACAAACGAACAGCAGACGCGCTCCGAGTAATCTGTGGCTGGGCAGTTAGTTCCTCTTTTTAGTTCTTTAAAACATTTCCATCTGGGCAGAGTTAGATGTCTGGAACAGTTTACCACTGTTTGCTACACAGTGAGCCAGGCTGTGACTGACAGCATCCGCACATCAATCAAAATCCGACTCATCCATCTACGGTGGAGGCGCTCCATCGCTGCAGTGGCCAAGGACACGTGCAGCATTAGAGCTGATGTCATCGGGGGGAGTTCAGTCGGGATGACAGCTCGGAAAGACATAGACTGAAATAATGGCGAGCGCGCTGGTGGGGTTCATCATTTCCTACACACTATGTTTGGCCTGATCATTACCACAATAACATGGCGCTACTGCCAACGAAAGCCAGAATCTGTGCGTAGTGGCTTAAAGCTCGCTCTGCGAGTGCTGAGCTCTCCCCAAACATCTTCATCCATCCTGAGGACCAGCTAATCAAAAACGTTTTGATGCTACATTTTTTTTTATTGACTTGCCTAGGGGGAGGAATTTAGATGAAATGATAACGCACCCCCTTCGGATAGACTGCAAACTGTGAGCAGCTGTGAGGATGGTGTGCGAGGAGAAATGACGGGAGGGGAGGTTTTTTTTCCTTTTAGTTCTTTCTGCTCCAGGTTGATACTTCCTGTCGGAGGAGCCAGTCCTTTAGGGAGCACCTTGCCACGACTGCAGACGTTTAGCTCCAACAACAGGCAAGTCCCGACAATCTATCTCTCGTGGAATCGTCTCACCCGTCCAGTTTCAGGAAACTGATCCCTAAATAGAAGTGATTCATCTTTTTTCATACAATATGAGCACACACAGCACAAAGAGACTTCTCTTTCCTTTTCTCTCGCTTTCTCATCTCTTTCTTGCTCTCTCTCCCTCTCTTTGCACTGTATGATTCAGTGTGGCTGCAGGGCAGAGTCTTTTATCGCTGTATTATGCCCAGCTGAAAGCTGACAAAATGGAATCGGTGTGTGAGTTCTGTGACTGGGAAAAAACAGCCTTGGACCAGATCTCTTTCTCTCTTGTTGATAATCTTATTCTTTCATCATTAGGCCGATTGCGGTTTATCCTGGAGAAAAGAAGGGATGGGGAAAAAGATAAATATAGAGGAAAAAAGGACATGGCCATCCAGCGGGCAAACAAAAAAACTCATACCTGGAAATACTTCCTCAAAAATGGCTACCAGACAATTAGCTCCATCTGAGAGAGAGGAGGGGGTGCGCTATAACTTAAACTGCCCACACTGGAGGTCATCACTCACACGCTAATGGAAGAACCGTGCTACACACACACACACAAAATCGCTCTCTCTCACACACAAGGACACAGCAATCGTCTTTGAACGGATTGATAAACACTGCGGTAATTTGACTTTACATTTGTGGTAAAAGTTCATCTGTGCAGAACGCAGCAACTCGTGACAATAAGGCCAAATTAATATTCAACCCATTTCCTATCCTCGATTTCCTTCACCTTTGAAGTCTGGTGGAAATGAAGACCAGATGGAAGCAAAAGGAAGAACAAGAGTGAGCAAACGAGAGAGAGAAAAAACACTCATGTGTCTCCACATGAAATGGAGCGCTTTTTAAACAGAGGTAAAACATGTGGGAAAGTTTCTGAAGCTCTGCAGTCATCGCCAGACACGGCAGGAACAGAAAACATGTTTTATGCACTCCCAGCTACGAAAACAAACAAACTAATGGGAAAATGATCAGACGCTTTACTTTAGGTTAGCCCTTAAGTGAAAATCTGTAAAATGCATGTGAAATGCAAAGCCTTACAAGAGCTTTTGAGAACATGCACTTGAAATGTTTGTTCACTAATCAGTCAAAAAAATCTCATGCATGTAGTGTTTAAAAAATGTTTCAATGAGTTTGAGAATTCTCACACACACACACACACACACACACACACACACTTTTAATTGTCTCTATGATGATATGACAAAGTTATAACTGCAGGATGTTGAAGGAAATCTGAGAAAAAAATGGATAATGTAACGATAAGTTTACATAAACCTTAGAATCTACAATGCGTTTGTTCTATATCTATATTCTATTCTATACTCTATATCCTGTTCTTAATATCATTTGTTGACTCGTCAAGCATCATATAGCAACAAGACATCATATAGCGATGGGAGAAAAAACTAATGTGCAAAGCATGCTGAGAAACCAAAGAAATTGTAGAACCTGGAAGATTTTTATCAAGAACAACAGATAGTTTTCACATTCCAGAACAACCCAGAGACATATGTACAACTATTAAAAGTTTAGTTGCTTGTTGAGGCAACATATGGTATTATGAAACAAGGTAAATATTTGAGTAACTTCAGTTATTATTTTGTTGTGTGAAATCTCTCTCTTTTTAAAAAAAAAAAATCTGCAAGTACTATGTAAACAAAAGCAGAACTGTATAATACTAAATCTAATTACATTTTAGTAAACCACAAAGAGAAAGCGAGACCCTGTAATTTTAACAGTGTCCAAATATCATTTTAAACACTTTAAGGCCACTTTAAGTATATACTGACAAAATACCACAGCTTCAAAAAACAAAGATAACAGCCTTACATGTGACCATATTATTTGAACAACATGTACCCTAATGGAGGGCCCTGAACAATAACACTGGCAGTCAAAAGAAGCCGATCACAGATTAAACGCTGTCCACGAATTAAGTTAAGCACTAAAGAACGCAAAGGAGCAGAATACTGTGTAATCAAACAGGCCTTGAGATTTCTCTGCGTGAAGGTCAATCCCGCTGCCTATGCAGCTGTCACGCCTTCCTCTCAAACACACGCACACGTGTGAACAAACACACTGACACACACAAACCAACCAGATAGTCATCTATCATCCCTAAACTCAACACACCCAACGGGAAAGCTCTCGCCATCAACCTGACATCAATCCAGTGAAGCAGCAACAATGACAAAAAATGCCTGCCTTTTTAAACAAATATAAAATATATGTGTCCAACAAATATTACAATATTAAGAGCATGATGTCGCTTGGTCTGAAGTATGCTGGGGAAGGTGATTGGTGTTGTTGCAGCAGGTTGGCTGATGGCAGTACAGTAGTATGGAAGCCCACTACTACTTGTCCTGGTAAATCTTTTGACATTTAATCATCCTCATGTTACTCCAAAGCTGTGTGACTTACATTCTTCTGTGGAGCCATATTCTGAGAAATGTCTCAGTGTAGCCAATGCCAATGGGCACCAATATTGTTTGGTTGCCAACGTTCTTCAAAATATCTTGTTCTGCAGAAGAAAATCAGTCAGGTTTGGAACGACATGAGGATGAGTAAAGATGTCGCTTGGTCTGAAGTATGCTGGGGAAGGTGATTGGTGTTGTTGCAGCAGGTTGGCTGATGGCAGTACAGTAGTATGGAAGCCCACTACTACTTGTCCTGGTAAATCTTTTGACATTTAATCATCCTCATGTTACTCCAAAGCTGTGTGACTTACATTCTTCTGTGGAGCCATATTCTGAGAAATGTCTCAGTGTAGCCAATGCCAATGGGCACCAATATTGTTTGGTTGCCAACGTTCTTCAAAATATCTTGTTCTGCAAACAAGATTCAAAAAATCAGTCAGGTTTGGAACGACATGAGGATGAGTAAATGATGACAAAATTTTCATTTTTGAGTGGACTATCCCTTGAGCTATAGTGTTGGGTATAATTTGGGGTCATGGTATTGGCTGAGTTGTTGTGGTGGGGTCATAGTAATTTGCTGAGAGTGCAGTGTTGGGTTATGGTAGTGTGTTGAGCTATGGTGTTGGGATGTTACAAATGGCACGCTGAGCTGTTGTGTTGGGTCATGTGGTGGTCTGTTGGACGTGTAGTGTTGGGTTAGGATGGATGTTCAGTCAAGCGGCATGTTGAACTGTAGTGTGGGTTGTGGTAATGGCTTAAGCTGTTGTGTTCTGTCTTTGCTAAGTGTATAGTGTTGGCTTGTAGTGGGGGTGCGGAGCATGATGTTGGGATGTTCACAAAAGTTGTGTATTGAGCTGTTGAGGTGGGTAATCGGGTGTTGTGTTGAGCTGTATTGTTAACTTATGGTGTTGTGTTGAGCTGTGGTGCTTGGATGTTCAGTAAAGTGTTGTTTTGAGTCGTCTGGTGATGTTGATCTGTTGTTTTGAGATTGTGTGAGAGATAGTGTTGAGTTGTGGTGGTGTGTTGAGCATGTTGTTGGGATGTTCAGTCAAGTGGTGTATTGGGCTGTTATTTTGGGTCACCTGGTGGTGTGTTGGGCTAAAGTGTTGGATCATGTGGTGGTCTACTGGGTATGCAGTGTTGGGGTATGGTGGTGTGTTGAGCATTGTAATGGAATGTTCAGTCAAGTGCCATGTGTTAAGGTGTAGTGTTTGATCATCTGGTGGCAGGTTGGGCAATGGTTATATGTTAAGCTATAGCAGTGGTTCCCAATCCTGATCCTGGAGAACCCCCAACACTGCACATTTTAGATGTCTCCCTATTCAAACACACCTGATTCAACTCATCAGCTCATTAGTGAAGACTCCAAGACCTCAAATGTGTGCGTCAGATAAGAGAGACACCAAAAACGTGCAGTGTAGGGGGTTCTCCAGGACCAGGATTGGGAACCACTGAGCTATAGTATTAGGTTGTGTTGTTTTTTTGAGCTGCTATGTTGAAGGTGTGGTGATGTGCTGACCTTATGTGCTGGGTCATGGTGGTCTATTGGGTGCTGAGATGCAGTGTTGAGTTGTGGTGGTGTGTTAAGAATGTTTTTGGGATGTTCAGCTATTATTCCGGGTCATCTGGTAGCTTTTGTGTTGGGTTGTAGTAGTGCTGGGCGGTATGACCAAAAATGTATATCACGGTATTTTTCAAAATTATACCGGTTTCACGGTACATGACAGTATTTTTTTTTTTCATGCATGACCGCGTTAACCATATTTTCTACTGATTGAGAGCGGAAATACTACAGTATATTGACTTAGAATGCCCTATTTTACTGTCATGATGAGTGAATATTGTCAAAAAATACCACACTAAATAGTGACTAAACACGACCCCTTTTAATACGTTAACCAGGAGTCACTCTCATTTATAATCGCGGCATCGTCTGATAAAATCAACATGCATCTACACTAAAGAGCGGCTATGCGGTTGTTTTGGCTATATTACTTTTTTGTCTCATGCAGCGCACTGCCTGCGTCTGAGTAACAAACTAAAAAAAAACAACAAACAAAAAAGTGCATGTGGTATTAACAGACGAACTATGCAAATATTTATAATTCCAAACAATCAGTAAACGACAAGTGCTAGGAAACGCTGTTTTGTACTCGTTTATTGTCGAGTCTGCTGCGGTGCGGCCAACTGAATGCGCGGCTTCTCTGCCGCTCACTGCACAGAACAGACGCCGAGAGGTGACACTTCTCCGGGAAAGTCAGACCTCGCGTTCGCGGGACAGCACTGGCGAAATCTTCCAACTGAGCCATAGCTAAGGTTTATCCAAAAAAGTCTAGTGCTAAAGTCGCGCTCGTGTTTGTGAGATGCGGGAGCTGATGGCGGGGGCG